CGAGCTGCCGCGGGGTCGGAGCGCGGGAGCGAGCGAGCGAGCATGGCTTCGTCGTCCGGCAACGACGACGACCTGACCATCCCCCGGGCCGCCATCAACAAGATGATCAAGGAAACTCTCCCCAACGTGCGCGTGGCCAACGACGCCCGCGAGCTGGTGGTGAACTGCTGCACCGAGTTCATCCACCTCATCTCCTCGGAAGCCAACGAGATCTGCAACAAGTCGGAGAAGAAAACCATTTCCCCCGAGCATGTCATCCAAGGTGGGCGCCCGTGGCTTCGCTCCTGCGGGGGCTAGGGTGGGGCGGACTGCCGGGAAGCGGAGGTCCCGTTACTCTGCCCTGCAGAGGTGGTGGGGCTGAGGTGACAGATGTAGAAGCCGGGCAGGTCTGCACCTTCTAGACCAGTGGCTTTCAACCTTTTTCATACCAGGACCCATTTGTAAGCATCCGTGGCCAGTCCTACTCTGGACCTGCTCTCACCAGCCCCCTTGTGTGTGGGGCAGGGGGTCCCCAAGCAGCCCCTGGAGCTCTGCCAGCCTGCAAGGGAAGAGCCCCCCTTCCCCATGTTTTTCTCGCTTAAAGGAGAATCCATTTTTAAAGTTTGTTTCCAGCTGTTTCACATATTCTTGCGACCCACAGGTTGCGAAATGCTGTTCTAGGCCAGCCAAAGTGGACAGATACATATAGCAGTCCAAGCTTTCAGGAGCTGAAGCTTGCCCTCCATCAGGGGCTGATGAAACCATAGTGGGGATTTCTCCCTTCCAGGCTCTGTTTTGTGTGTCGCTCCCTGGAATGCCTGGGCCAGGTGCCGAATCCTCCTGTATGCATGAGGTGAAGATGATCTTGCCCAGCAGCCGTGCAGGCTGCTGCTCCCCCATCTTCCTCACAATGGTTTGAGATCCAGTAATTGGTCTGAGGTTGCACCAGAAATGGGGGACAGGGGGATGATGCAGGGTTTTCACAGTGAGGCCCAGGTCTTTCATTTCTGGATGAGAGTCCAGTCTAAGTGATGTAGTGAGGAGGGTTCTGGGATTCTGACCAGGCTGTCCTTGGACCAGCTTGGCAATTTCTGTATTAATTTCTGGTGTAGTAAGTGTGTCAACTAGAAATGTGCCCTTGTGTTCTCTGCCATTTGGTTCCTACCCCATGTGGCTGCTGAAAATGAGTTTTTCTAGAATCATTTGTCCTCTTTTGACTACTTCCATAGCTGCTACATGCTCTCCTGTCTTCAAGAATGATGCTAATTAGGGTGGCTGTTTCGTAAATTACCACAAATTTTGACAGTTTCATTACTGCCCACAGAGATATGAGGAGTAATAGTGAAAGTGAGTAGAGTTTTAGTTTTACTCTGCTACTGCTTGACAAAATTGTGAATGGCAGCAGCATAACCAGAGTGTTGTCTCCAAGTCCAGAAAGACAACCAAACCATGCATTTGTAGCAGTTCCTTTTGAAAGCTGATTTATGAAGTATTAATGAACAGTTGAAATAATCTAGATTATGATGGTTTTTACCAACTCAAGTCACTGAAAAGCTTTCCATTTGCAATTTTTAAATGGAGTTTTCATGTCCAATTTATGGTGAGCAAGTGAATTAAACTTTGTTGCAATAAACAAATCTTTGAAACTAATACTTTGTGGTAGCATTGCCTGGAACTTGGACTCGAGAAAGTAAAACTCATACTTAGAATGTGTGTGATACTTCTGGTATGCTTTTGTGCTGATACATATAGTTGCCTCAAGTAGTCAACAAAGGGACCAGCACCATTTTTAAACTAGGAATAGTAGTGAGGATTAAGTAGTAAGACCAAGTGAAATTGGAAAATAGAATTGGGAAAGGCTGAAGAATGGGTAAGATTGATCCTGTGGACAGATTTAATTTAAAATCATACTAATTAGTTTACCTTTTGTGCACAGTGATTATTTTTGGTAGGAAGTATATTCAAGGGGTTTGTATGAGGTTGGATACTAAAGTGAAGTGATGCACACAAGCATGTCTGCAAAGTATTGTGCCTGGTGTTTTATTTCATTTTATTTTTTTAAATAAAAAAACAACTTTAATTCCAAACTATCACACTTAGGGCCTGTTAAATATGGTAAGGAGGGTTTTATTGTCATAGAATTTCATATTATTCTTATTTTCCTTTTTTGTTGTCCTTATTTACTCTTCAGAAGTGCGGGTGATGGTGGTAGTTTCACCTGTTCCTCCCATCCCTGAATCAGAAGGGTTTATGTCATTAAAGAAAATAATGTAACTTTTCTATAAGTGGCATATAATTACAGTATTTTCTGTTCCCCATAATCAAAGTGTTTGGGTTTTTTGTTTCTGCTGCCTTATATTGAGTTTTCTACAATAACTGACAACATTATTTGAAATTTTAGAAAGGTCTGATCAATTTTTTGTAAAACAAAACAACCCCCTGCCACCCCATCCAAAAAAAACAAACCCTGTTTTTATCTTATGGTACTGATATGCTCCAGTAATTTTGGCATGTCTTCGCATTCTGTTTGGATTTACTGCTTAAACCAATTTACTTGGCACTGTAAAGAGGCTTGACTACCCTTATTTTGAGGCTCAGCCCTTCTGTTCTTTTAAAGAAGATGCCATGTTTGCTTTCCCCCCTAGTTCTAATATAGTAGCTAATTTTAATGAGAACCTGCATTACTGCTGCTGTTAATAGCAGTTCAGTCTCTTTCACATCTCTCAAATCCTTTAAATAGCAGTTGTAAAGTTTTCCTTCTGAATTTTATCACTGTTCTAGCACCACTTGTGAGACGCTTTAACTTCTTCCAGCTTAATTTGCCAAAAGAGATGATCTGTGGTAGGTCTACCTTTTCTTGCAGTAAACACCAGTGGACAGAAATCATCTGAGGTCTCAGCAAGGTCTTTATCCTTGATTACTCCTTGTGTTCACTTCTAATACAAAGGACTGTCCACTTCTGTAATCTTTCTTTTCCTGTATTTTTATATAATTCCTTGGGGTTTTTTATGTTTGTTGTTTCCTCTTCAAAATTTCTCTTATCCTTAATCTTACCTGCCACAATTTGATCTCTTATTTGTTGCTTTGCTCAGGTTATGTTTCAGTTTTCTGAAAGATACTTCTTAAACCAGAAACGTATTATCTTTTGCACGGCTATGTTCTGTTTCTAGCTGGGCTGCTTTATTTGTTCATGTGCCTGTGTCTTTGTTTTAAGCGGTTTACATTTAGAGTAATTTATTTTAATTACCTTCTGGGTATTTTGCAGGCTTTTTTTCTGAAGTTCAGTAGAACAGTGCTAAATTTTGGCATGATTTCTCTCAAATCAAATTTAGTCTTTCTTTGAATTAATGGACGTAATGTTTAAGTTTTTGAGGGGCAAGATGCTGCAACTGGATCTTTGCAGGCAGACTCACTGAAAATCAATAGCAAATGTACTTATATTGTACTCTGCTTAATGCTGATAATGTAACCTCTTGATCTCAATATGCTGAGGTAATACTAAAACGTATCTTGTTGTGTAACAAATCAACTTGGAATTTGTGCAAGTCTCTACATACACTAAAACACTTGTTTGGAGGATTTCATTATTTATTTCTTAATGTAAATAGTGTATGGCATAGGCAGTATCTAAGATGCAAATCCACAGTTGACAACGTCCTATTTATTTCTTTCAATTTATTAAAGTGCCACAAAGCCAAAGGTGTGCTGTACACAGATAAAAGATTAAATACATTAAAAAGTGTCTCAGACGGCCGGAGCCGACTTGAGGAGGATTGCTGATTACTCGGCCGTCAGGCAGGCTGGTGCATGGAGAGGCAGGACACAGCGTATTGGTTGCAAAATAACTTTTACTTTAACTTTACTTACGCCGCTGGTGGCCGCGATGCAGGTGGTAAGGTTGCTTACGTAGTTACAGGTAACGGGCAACAAAATGAGCCGGTGAGTTTGTAGACAGAAACGAGCATGCAGGATGAAGGATATGTCGGGAACAGACGGTGACGGGGAGATGTTGGAGGATGGCCAGTCCGCCAGCTTTTCTCTGCCACGTGGCAAAGTTCTCCGTACTCTACCACATGCTCAGAGCTCTCCAACTTGGGCGGAAGCTGCGCGAATTTGTATACATTTAGAGTAGCCAATAACAGACTGCCAGGTGGGAATAGCTAATGAGGCAGAACGTACCAAATTTGCGGTCATTCAGGGCAGTTCTGTTGTAACAGGGGCACTCAACTCATTTGGTTATGACAAAAAGAAAGAGTGCAAACTCTGGCTGCTATGCACAAGACAGCACATGTTGTGTGATGCCAGTAATGTAAAATAAGTTGCCACAAATAAGATTTTCTCATTAAGTTTCTCTCGGTTCCAACTTTTGATCTTTCCCCGATGAGCCACCTGAGACCCTGTCCTGCTCCCTGCTGGGGCCCTGAGGCAGCACACTGCGACCCAGGCCCCAAGCACCACCTGGCTGTGCAGCAGCCCCAGCCCAGCCATGCCCAGCTCCCTCCCTACAGGGGCCTCAATCCCCCTCTTGCTTCCCACTTCCCTGCTGGAGCTGATCTCAAGGCTACCTGGGGCCACATGCATGTGCTGTACATGCACGTGGTTCCCCATCTCACTGCCTTCCTTCTACTTCCTCCCAGCCCCCTGCAGGCTGGAACTCTGCCAGCCTCGCACAAAGCGAATTTTTCTCATATGAAGCAAATTTCTGGTGTAAATAATGTTTCGTGTATAAGAAAATTTTTGCAAAACAAATTTGCATAGAGACCAAAGTGTATGCCCTCTGCAAATTGCAACAAAGTGCCATTTTTCTAGTTGAGCTTTTGCTAAATGTAACTTACCTCTTTTGCTTTTAAATCTCATTCTACTTAACCTTCCTGCACTTCCCTTTCTATTGCTCATAATAGATCATAGGGTAAGTTAATGTAAAAAAGAAAAAAAAAAGCCTGTTTAAAGTCAGCCTGCTTTTTCTATAGCAAAGTATTCAAATAAATGGCATAAGATCATAAAAACTGTTAACATTGTGCAGTCTTGTACTTTCAGCCTGAACAAGATATATGTGAAGGAGCAGCCATGCCAAGAATTCTGCATAGTTGATGTTAAGCATTAAGTCTTGTCACAAAGGTGTATTTTTATTGTGTTTTGAAGAATGCAGGTGCCCTTCCTCCATGAAGTATTCAAGGTTCTGGTCAGTAACGATTCTGCCATTAGGTGCGTCAAACTAGGCGTAAAGCACGGGAATTCGCACAGGAGGGCGAGCGGAAGGGCCCGAGGCCCTGCCTGTGAGCC